CCCTGAACCTGTCGTGCTGATGCTCAGCTGTTTTGCCTATGTGGGTGACGAGTCACTTGTCGTTTCGTTCAGTCATCAAAAAGCGGCAATGTGAAAAGTTGAGGTACCAAATTATATCCACCCTGTCATCGTGTCTGGTCAAGTTAGTCAGTTCCGGGACTGGCCAAGAGTATACAGTCATATAGTCCTCAAAATAGGCGGTAAGCTCGATATTTTCAGCAGGAAGAAGGAGAGAATGACTTTAGATTCCAAATTAGTCTTTATAGACTTTTCGTTCTATGTCCTATAGGAAGTTCTAATGAGACTGCAAATAGGCTGGTGGGAATTGATCTGCTTGCCGTAAGGAGAGTAAAACTGAGGATCGATTTAAAGTTTGCTCTGCCTTCCTAAAGTTTCCGTATACAAATTAGAATGCAATAGATCGCTGTGTTCTCGTCGTTGAAGGAAAATATCCCATCCTGAGGACCGCCCTAAAATTGGTTATTTCCTTCTGCGAAAAATGCCAAACGTTACTGGTAATCATAATTAGTTCTCACACCCACACACGCATATATGTATATTGAAAAAGGTATGTAACTTTTTAATCCTGATTGCCGTGACCACTTTGTTATTCCTCCGTCTTATATTGCTTTATTCTTATTATACTTTCTTCATGTTATTGTATCCAATTACAAATGACGTTTAGTGTGTGAAATGAACAAAAGTAGAAAAGTCAATTATAAACAAGACATTGAAGTTCCACTTTATTACAGCCGATGCCCTGTGCGAAAAATTAAGATAAATGAAAAAATTATGAGTCGCAATAAGAAAACTAGATTTTTTAATAAATAAACATTTTTCTGCATAGAATTACTTTAAAGGCACTTTATGCGCGTGACTTGAATATTGTCGTAACTAAAAAAGGTAAAGGAAACGTTGCCTACATTTAGGCGCACACAAAAGTATGCTTTTTTCGTGGCGTCAAATTCTCAACAAGGCTAGCAAAAATATAATTTCCACTGAACTCCTCTCATAAAACGCTTTCCTACCCTACAACAACCTATTTGCGGTCTCTTTATCTTCGTCACTTGCACCTTCCGTACGCTCCATTGCATTGAGCTAATTTTCAACATTTCGCTCGTTGATGGTCGCACCACAAAACGGCTGAGAATATAAAATGTGCTTTCTTAGCTAATTGGAATTGAAACATAAATTAAAAGTCGGAAACAGAAATACATTCGCCAACAACAACAACAACAACAGCAACGCCAACGACGCCGTTAACACAAATAGAAGAAAATATAAATGAGCATAACAACAACAACAAACGCGAGTAGTTTTATCAATGTTGGAGTGCAACTTGAGCCAGCGTAGTCATCAATGTGTGTGCTCCTGGCTGAAACATTACGAAACGTCTGATTTTACTAGTTTACCAGGCATTGCATGTCCTTTTGCCTTTCACCTCGTCCTTTGGCACTTCAACGTCACGTTGCAACTTTTGTGGTAATGTGCGAACATTACTATTACAATTTTTTATTTTCTCATATTATTGCTATTGCTAATATCGTTATTGTTGTTGCTGTTGTTTCTATAGTTGCACAACAAATGACCGTAAGGCGGTATTTGTCGTTTGGCACTCCGCTTGCTTCGTTGAGTCGCTGCTTCGTCTTTTGCTGTTGTCAGAAGATTAACTGTTGGCAATAATTTCGTTTCGCTTTGGAATTGTTTTATTCCTCCACACACGTATACATACATACATACACATATACTATATGACCATCTATAAGGATATGTGAGTCCTTCAAGGCATTGTAGACCGCGTAAGTTGCTTCATACCTCATTTAGTTCTACGTATGTACGTACAAGTATGCAGGGTTGTTATGGCATTGCTTCTTCGTCATGTTCGCCTCGTTGAAGTGCGACTGTCAAAGATGAATGTGGGAGCAATAAGCCTTTGATTGGTTTCGATATAAAAATTTACTGCTCAAGTGTTTTATGCCACAGCGTTGATATATGGCTGTTTGTGTGACTTAGTCAAGTTTGTGGTTGAGCTAAAATTAGTTTCAAGCATATGGAAAGTAGAGTAATAAAAGAAAAGTTCGTTTATTTATAATTGTGATTGCGTACTTTCCAACTACTTTCTTATTTTCAAGTGTTCTTAAAGGTAGTTTTGTGTAGGAATATCTGGTAGTTGACAAAAGCCGAACGAATGCCAACAGGTCCTCGGATTGACATGTATGAATATACACGTATGTATAATTAGAGGCAGCAGAATGCAACTGAGCCCATCTGAGCTTTACTGGACATTTTCAGTTGAGCTCGGACTGGATAGTTTGGGGCTATAAGCCTTTGACATTAAGAGCTATCGAAGAATTCAGTAACCCATTTGATTGAAAACCTCAAATTGGAAGATCAAGCTTCCTTAAAAGAAATGTTATTAGTTCTTAGCAGAAAGGAAAAGAAGAGATCTCAACAAGGTTCTCTGACTTCCGCCAGGACGTTGAGTATTAAAAACGACAAGATTCTAAATTTAAAAAAGAAACGGGGCTTCAAGACGAGATCTTATATTAGGTCAAAGTAAAAAAGTTCGTTCGGTTTTTATCTAAGAGATGGCGTTATTGTCCATAGTACTAGTGTTACGTGTCGCATCATGTCATACTATAAAGCGCTGAAAAAAGCAGCCAAACGATGTTTGAGTGCCACACGAACTAACGCAGAAAAGCATGATGGACCAAATTTCCATCTGCGAATCGCTGCTGAATCGCAACAAAATCGACCCGTCTCTAAAGCGAATTGTAACGAGCAATGAGAATTGGGTCACTTACGACAACATCGAGCGCAAACGGTCGTGGTTAGAGCTAGGGGAAGCGGTCCAAGACGGTGGCCAAGACCGGATTGACGGCCAGGAAGGTTTTGCTGTGTGTTTGGTGAGATTGGCGGGAAATCATCTACTACGAGCTGCTCCGCTATGGCCAAATGCTCAATTTGGCACTCTACTGCCAACAAATAGACCGCTTGAAGGCAGCACTCATCCAGAAGAGGCCATCTTTGATCAACAGAGGCCGAATTGTGTTCCATCAGGGCAACGCCAGGTCACACACGTCTTTGGTAACGCGTCAGAAGCTCCAGGAGCTCGGGTAGGAGGTCTTAATGAACCCACCTTATAGTCCAGACCTGGCACCAAGTGATTATCATCTTTTCCTGTCCATGGCGAATGCGCTAAATGGTGAGGAGTTGGCTTCAAGAGAGGCCTGTGAAAATTGGCTCTCCGAGTTTTTTGCCAATAGGGACGCAGCCCTTACGCTTCCGCCATTGTGAGTTATTCATCACAGACGCTAACGAATGATGCCAAAGTGTCATATCTAGCAATAAAATCAGGATAATGCGGAAAGCTAGGGATAATAGAAAGCCAGGAGAGCTTATCGCTAAAGAAAGGAAGGAAGGAGATATTTAAAATTATGGGTCTTTTTATAGAACTTTTTTTATTGCGCAATCTCGCAGAGAGCTTAGACGTACCAACAAACGACTTCTACAGAGTGTAGTAGAGTAAACGAAGAAGAACCTGAAACCTTAACGCAGTTTATTTGCGAATGTCCCGCACTTTGGAAAAGTACGTTGATGTCTCTAGGGGCTTTAACGAAATAACGGGTGCAATGACTTCGTTATTTGCTCAGTCTTACAAGTTCCACGCATTGATTGGACTGGCAGTGATATCATAATGGGATCGTTTAGTGGCCTAAAAGAAATATTGGCGGATAGCTGATTTAACATAACCTCACTTTTAAAAGAAACCACTGTGTTTTAGGGCTATTTGCAGCAAGGCGAGTTTCTGTAGATTTCTTGAGAACTGGAAACTAAACCACATCTACAATGCTACCGAAAAAAACATTGGACACGAGGTAGATCCCAATATCTAAGATTTTTTTGATAATTTCCCTAAGATAGCAGATCTCAGCGATATAACCCACTTAGTTTATAAATCACTCAATTGAAAAAAATATTTTAAGGTCGTTTTGCACTAATCGTCGAGCTTTTCCAGTTGAAAAACGTAAAAAGTTCCAACTAAATTAACTGTCAAACCTGAAGTTTAAAAGCTCAAAAAAGCATAAAGATTAAGTTCAGCTTAAAAAAACAGAAAGATATTTTCAAATTCTGGTCTAAATGATGTGAAGCTCTTGAAAATTGTTGCCAACTAAAGAGTTACGACTTTAGAATCACATTTTACCAATGGCACGAAAGAAAGGTACGATGAAAGCGTGTTGTGTGTGTACCTCAAGCCACCGTAGTTCAGACTGTACTGAAAAATTTACAAATATAAGGTTTACAGTTCTAGAAAAGTTTCGGATACTCAAAACATAAAAAACACGTGTGGTTTTATCAATAATAATAGTTTTGGTAGCCTCATTAAATATAGATTAATGTCCGCACTTCGAAAACAAAGTAAGGTACAGTTATCACATACATTCAAAGGTACAGGCCGTTAATCACTTAAAAAACGATTTGTCAATTGGCAGGTTGTCTAGCGATTTACGATAAATATCAGAAGTTTTCTTGGTGCAATGATATATTGAGCGAAAAACATACGGTTATTCAAGATAATTTTTTAATAAAAAAATAAAAATATATTTTTCTAGCAAATAAAAAAAAAGAAATTAAAAAAAAACATTGATAAAAAAATTTTATACATACATATGTATGCATGTACATATAAATATTTTCTCTTTTCCAATTTTTTTATGATTGGCTAAATTTAAAATTCCTCTAAGCTGGTCTACTCATGTTTTTTTCCAATTAAATTCCCTAATTAATTATTGTTCTTAAATAATTAGTCCTATTTTTTTAGATTAAATATTTTCGGCTGGGCAAAGAATTTATCGTTTAATCATTGCCCATCGTTACTTTTATTAAAATCTATGATAACAGTACATTTTATCATTTTAAATATTGAGAAATTAATCCCGGCATTCGATAGACGTTTATTTCGATGTTCCTTTTTTTGGCTATAAAAAGCCAGCAACGGCGATTTCTTTTCAATGTCAACTGTGTTGTTTACAAAGCAAATACTATAACAAAATGAAGTTAGCTGTGCTTGCCATCGTCTTGGGTTTGTGCCTCGCTGTCGCTACGGTGAGTAGAAAGTCAAAAAGAAGCGAATTTTCTCTAACTTCCTTCTTCTCCAGGCCGAAATCAATTACTCCGTCGAGGAGAATGAGCTCGTAGAGTTTGCGCCTTTGGGCCTTGCTGACGAAATCACTGATGAGATGGACTTTAGCGTTTTTGGCATTTTGTGGTTTACAATCTATGGTAGCTTGCGTACACTCAAGGGTGTCAACTGCATCATACGCCGTGTGATGAGCATTCAGAGTGCTGCCATTACTTTCCTCAATGATTTCAAAGGCTGCAACAGCGGCGCTCTGAAGGATGTGAATGCGCTCGTTAATCAGGTGCAGTCTGTGGTGAGCACCTGCAATGACATTATCCATTTGAACAGTAATGTCTGCAACAATGGTGCACTCAGTGATCAGGCTGATGGTAAAAAGTCTACCCCAATCAATTGCTTCTTCAAGCTGTTGTTCAAAGTAGTTTCGTTGAAGAATCAGGTGGGTAAGACCATTACCTTGTCGAAAAAATTAACATCCACACCAGGCAACTATGCTTCATGCAATTTGGACGCTGTGAACGATTTAGTATCGGTATTTACACAATTCCCGTCCTACGTGAAGACTTGTTCGAAATTGACTAGTTAAATGCTTTACAATACTTTCGAAAAAGAGGAGCTAAAAAATAAAGCTTAATAAACAAAGAAATACAAATTGAAATCCGATACTGCAAATTTTCGTTGTTTGATTTTTTTTTGAAGATATTAGTCTGATGATTCAGGATAAAACATTCTGGAAAAGGATCTAAATTAAAAATTAAAGTATTAGATAAAATAAAATAAAAATCTAAAAAAAAAAATTTGAATATTAAAAATAAAAATTGATAATAAATAAATTAAATAATAAATAAATAAAATAAAATACAACAAAAAAAAAGAAACAAAAGAAAAAAAACTGAATAAAACATAATAAAATAAAAAAGAAACAAAAATAAAATAAAGTAAAATAAAATAAAATAAAATAAAATTAAATAAAATAAAATAAAATAAAATAAAATAAAATAAAATAAAATAAAATAAAATAAAATAAAATAAAATAAAATAAAATAAAATAAAATAAAATAAAATTATATGAAATAATATAAAATAAAATAAAATAAAATAAAATGAAATGAAACAACGTAAAACGAATAAAAATTAATTAATTATATTTTACTATTAAAAAAAATAAGTTAAAATGAAATCAAACAAAAGAAAACAGAAAATATAAAGTAAGATAAATTTTATATAAATGCTGAGTTACGCCATATAGTAAAAAATATTTATGAATAATCTGTTCAGCGCCTTCATTTGTATATATGTGCATACACGTGTAGTAGAAGTTTTGAGTTACCAAATAACAATCATAATTTTCAGCAATAACGGAAACGGAAATAAAATCAAGCACAAATGCAATAATACAATTTTATGACATTTCATAAATGTCATTTACCGTAAAGAGAATTCAACATTTATGTTATACTTGTATGTGCATACTTATGTAGTATAAAACTGTAAGTAAGTTTATTATACCCAGCTGGAAAGTCCAAGTCCTATTCTTAAGTACTCGTCTCACCATATTGCGGGAAATCACGCCAAAAAGTGTGTTAACACATAATTTATTTTAAAAACTCATAAATTTTAAGGTTTCGTTAAGTAATTGTTCGTAGATTTGGCATTTTTGTAAAAATCTAGCAAAGGTTATTTAATTCTGAAAGACAGAGTTCGAGTCCTGGTTCGACGAACCTTTAAAGTTATGAAAAATAATTTTTTCCAATTGTGGTCGCCTTTTGGCAAGGATTGTCAAATTTTCTTAACAAAATATTTATTTATTTATTTATACCAAATTTTTAAGTGAATTTAAAGGTTATAAGCTGCTTAAATGTACTTTTTTCCTATAGGTGCTTTCAGGCGAGACAATGAACTTTGGTGAAATACTACAAAACCCAGGTATTTATGTATTAATACCTGTGCAAGCATATGTACACACATTCACATTTTTATAAAGATATTTATGTACGTAGCTTAGGTTGGTATGTGTATTAAAGCCCATAAGTCATAAACAAAGGCACATTCATAGATAATAATATAATTAGATATATGTACCTATGCACATACATATGTATGTGAGTATTTGTTATTCATACGAATGCAGATTACATGGGAGTATTTTTGAGTATATAGGGTTATGCAGAGTCAAGATTACGGTAAGCAATATTTACACTTATCTAAATGACCAAATTATATTTACCGTACACCAAATCTTGAAAAATACCCGTAAAAGAAAGATTTCCTCATACCATCTGCTTGTCGATTTTGAAGTAGCTTTCGACAGCACGAAAAAGAGCTGCCTCTACGCCGATCTATCTGAATATGGCATCCTCGCGTAAACTGAAAGTTTCGTCAGAGTAGGGAAGGGCCTCACCGAGTCGTTCAATGTCAAAAGAGGTTTCAAGCCATATGATCCCCTAACGTGTGACTTCTTTAATTTATTGTTGGAGTAAAGAGTACGAGCTGCAGAGTCTGTGGGTCTGGTTATGAACACGACCAAGATGAAATATCTTCTGCTATCAAACAAATAGAATTAACACCAACAGCAATATCTGCCTGGAAATTTAACAAAGAGCCAGCCCTGTCCGCAGCTGCTACTGTGGACTGAGTAGGTAATTGAAGAGTAAAGTCCTACGTCGACGAACAAAGACCGAACTATACAGATCGCTCAACGTTACCGTCCTGCCATTTGGTGAGGAGGCGTGGACGATGACTACATCTGACGAGTCGAAGTTAGGAGTTTTTGAGAGAAAGGTTTTTGCGTGAGATTGATAGTCCTCGGCGCGTTGGGAACGACGAATAAGGCAACCGATGAAATGTAGAGCTGGATGAGTTAGACGGAGACATGCCATAGTTCAGCGAACTAAGAGACTGCATTGGCTAGGTTATGTGGTCTGGATGACTGAGAATATTTCAGAATGATTTTGTGGAATTTTTCATTTCACTGCCTTTTTCAAGAACTTCAGAATATTTACTCGATGAGTGTGAGTTTTTTAAAATGATTTTTTTTTAAGCACTTGTAGAAGCACCCTGTTCATTTATGCTTGTCCTTGTCTTAAAGGAATCGACAGGTGCCGGTAAATGTAGTGACTATAAATGAACCTGACGAACGAACCACACGAACCCCACACGATTGTGTGTGTGTGTGCTTAGTTCACGGAGGTGGGCGTGTGGAAGGCATAAAAATGATTTACTGGCGAGAGCAGAACAATTGTGAATTGCTGTAATTTCATTAGTATATATTCATGTATGTATGTTTATTTGTGTGTGGCAGAAATATAATTTAGTGAGGGAGCACTAGCAATAGTAAATTTCGTCCGAAATACAAAAAAAAAAGAAAAAAAGAGGAACAATAATGTCAAATGTGATAAAAAGCTCTACCAAGTCAACCATCAGCACCACACATGACTCCATCTATGTGTGTGTAAGGACACAACCAAACAAGCTCATCAACAAACATTTTCTCTGATTGTTCACAATGAATTTGGGCAATCGTAATGCTATTCCCTTTCTTTCTTTTCTTTCCTTCTCCCATCATTGCTGTACGAATGGCCTAGCAAATTGTCCAGCTTCGGTTATTTGATTGTCCTTTGACGCGCTGCAACTTTTCAACTTATTGCCATTTCAGTTATCATGAGTCCTTAATAGCTCAACTTGTGCCCCCTGCACACATATATTGTACGTATGTATGTATTTGGTGATAGTGATGCAGGACATTGATGATGGGTGAATGCAATAAAGGAAACTCACAGTTAACTTATTTACGTTTTACCAATTTTCTCTCAATAACTGCGATAACTCAATTGTAGGCACATTTACGAATTGGCGAAAAGCGTTTGAATGTAAAGGGTCTTTTTTTCAGGCATCGCCACTTTATTATGAAAATTCACGTTCTGTAAGGAATGTGTTTCGCGCGCTTCGCCCAACTTAAGGTCAACGTCGGCCTACTGAGCATATTCTTCGCAACACCATCACCTATCTTGAGCTCCGCCATTAATTTCTGGATAATATTCGACCGAATAGACCACGTCCAGTGCAGAGTGAAGAAAATTTAGGCGCCGCAGTTGAGAGTGTACACGAAGGCCGTGGAGAGACGGTGCGGTGCCGTCCGCAGCTGCTCGGACCATCGCATGGAACGACTTGGCGCATTTTACGTCGAGATCTGAAATTGAAAGCGTACAATATATAGCATGTGCAAGAGCTCAAGGCGCTTGACCTTCCCAAGCGACATCGCTTCGCTCTCTTGGGCTCTTGAAAAGCTCCAAGAAGATCCGACGTTTTTTAGCCAAATTTTGTACAGCGGTGAGGCTCAGTGATAAGTAAACAAGCAAAGTTTCTGCATTTGAAACGAAGAAAAACCTGAAGATATTCAAGAGCTGGCATTTCATGCAGAAAACACAAACAGTTTGGTGTGGTTTGTGGGCCGCTGGAATCATCGGTCCATATTTCTACAAAAATTGTGCCTGTGAGAACGTAACTGCCAATGGCGACTGTTATTGCGCTATAATAACTGAGTATTTGAAGGTTTTTATTGAAGCTTGTGATCTCGACCACATTTGGTTTCAACAAGACGGCTCCACTTCCCACACATCGCATTAGTAAACGGATTTATGGGAAAAACACTTTGGTGAGCGATTAGTTTCAATATTTGGGACGGTCGATTGGCCACCAAGACATCACATCGTTAGACATTTGCTTGTGGCTTGTGGCAAATGTGGTCTAAACATCACGCGCGTCATTCGCCGGTCACCAGTCGAAATGCTCGAACGAATCATCCAAAATTAGATTCAATGGATGGACGACTATCTGAGCAGTAGCCGCGGCTAACATTTGAACATATGATCTTCCAAAAAATAAATTCCAAAAAATGGTCTTTCGAATGATAATAAACATTCCCAACTAAATTTGAGTTCTCTGTGTTTTTCCTTTAAAATAGTAAGGAGCCACAAAATGGATCACCCTTTAGTTCATTCCCCATTGACTGTAACCTTTTTAAGGCCAATTATGTGGACCGAAATTTGCACGATTGTCAGACCAAACTGAGTCTATACCAAGTAACAGCTGCCAAAAAGACCGACACCGAGTAAAGCATTGCCTCTTCGAAAATTACACTTCTAAAAAAAAACACCCTGTAACCCCCATGCATATGTATGCATGTATGTTTGTATGTATGTAACATTCCTCCCTTCAGGTGTTGCATTCAAGCTGGCTGTGCGCGTTCACGTCCTTCGACCAGACAACTGTGTCTAACAAGGGAGCAACAACAAGGACCCAGCCAACAAAAACAACGTCTAGTTTAGATTTATCAATGGCTACTAAAAATATAACCGTAACTAAAGCACTAACTGTCCAACTAACTAAATGATAAGGAGCAACGCTCGAATATACATATGTATATGCACTTTAAGTTGTTTGCAACAAAATGTAGCAAGTGCAATAACAACGCACTTGAACGAATAAGTGCATATACATACATATTTATTGTATGAAATTCCAGAGTTTGTGGCACTCGCAAGCACTTTCAGCTATACTTTAAGCGCAGTGCTGTTGTTGTTTTTGTTATTTGAAGTATTATTGTACCTTTGTGCAATCTGAAAAGTTTTTCCCCACCCATTCACACACACACACACACACACACACACTCG